AAGCAAGCATACTCTTTCAATGGGTAGTTGCAGACCCTCAGACTACCATCTACTTGTTAAATAATCGACCATGCCCTCTTCCTGTCATTTCCCACAGTCCTTCCACCCTAAAAAACAGGAATCATTTAAAATAGTTATTACTATCTAAAACCCAAAATTCCCCTAAAGACGGCACTCTCCCGTTGCTTTCTCTCTTCAACTGGTCTCAGTGTTGTAGTTCTTCCTTGTACCATCCTTAAAGATGAGTCATGAGGAAAGGTTAGGTCAGGAGGTAACCTGTGCTGAAAACGGAAAAGCTCCTCATAATACACCGTCCCTGCCATGGTACCTCTGCCACGGGGCGCTTACTACTATATCTGCTGTCTTATGTATTATAGATACTTCAAACATAGCTGAGAATTAAGAATGATATTTTCAAATTTACAAAATCAATTCGATGAGGGTTAACTTAGACACGTTACTACACAGAAGTCCCTTGGTTCTCTAGACCAAATTCAGGACAACTATTAATACTATTTATATGAAACTGACATATTCTTAGTATTCTAAATTATCATAAGACTTTTTAGCTTTATGTTGTTTGAAAAATAAAAATCTACAGCACCATCTTCAGAAAAGGCACTTTCTAAGAACCACCTTGCTTTTAAAAAAAGACTTCAAACCCACTGTCTACTCTTTACTGAGCCCCTAATGTAAAACAATAGCAGATTCTGGTGACCTTAGACATTGATTTAAAAAAGGAAGGGGGCCCACCGGCTGGCTGGCTGGTGATTTGAGAAGATCCTAATTTTGTCATCTGTTTGGTACCTAGAACTATAACATGGTCTTCTACTGGGAATCCAACCCTCCACACTGGGATCTGCCATTCTTCTCTTCAAGATAAAGTCATTAACTTTCATGCTTTAAGAACAAAAGATTCTTAAGAAAACTCTAGGGCATTCCTTTTGATGGGAGAGGTAAACTTCATCTGTCCATAGATTGTATCAACAGAAGTCTTGTTCATTTTAGAGTTGCTGATTTACAGGGAAAATCAGAAACTGAAAATGTAATGTTATTATAATCTTTTTTTCTTTTGTGATATATTTTATCGCTATATAATCACCTTCTTCCCCTAGAACTCAGCCTGGGTTTAATTAATGACAGCATCATATTTATCATTGCCAATATGTTTTAGAGACAATTCTCTTTCTGACTTCTTTTGTCTTGTGTTTTTCTTTTTGGGGTTTGGCAGAGTTGGGGGTCACAGTAGTACTATGTATCCTAGACTGGCCTCAAACTGCCCATGTTAGTCTTGAACTCCAGATACTCTGGCCTCAGCTCTGGAATGCTAGGATCATAGGCATGCACTAGGCCCAGCTGCCTTTCTGATTTCTATACGGACTTGAAAATTACAACATTTAAAAGTACATTCGTGTGTGTGTGTGTGTGTGTGTGTGTGTGTGTGTGTGTGCCTGCCCACTTGCTTGAGCCTGCATGGATGGTGCCAAGGCATGTGTATGAAGGTCAGAGGGCAAGTTATGGGAGTTGGCTCTGTCTTTCCACTCTCTGGGCCCCAAGGATGGAGCTCAGGGTTTCAGGCTTGCTGGTGAGTGCCTTTACCTGCTAAGCCATCTCCCTGCCTCTGTATTGACCTTTACATAATTATTCTTGGCTTAGTTTTGACTCATAGAATCACAGAAATCTTATGTGTTAAGTGGAAAGGAAAATGAAGACACTCTAAGTCAGAATTATAACAAGACTTAGGAAGATCTCACTCAAGGTAAAGTTCTCCAACTATTTTTATTAAAGCTTTGGAAATATCTACGGATTCTCAAAAAGAATGAACGGGACCAACACTTCATGGGTAAAACAGCTGAATCAAGAATGTTGGACAAGTGAACTGTCTTTCTTTGAGGAGCTCACACACCTCATAAGAGACAGGTAAACTACACAGAACTGTTAAGAGTAGCTTTCTCTGCATTCTCTGCAGCAGGAGAGTACCTACAAGGATGAGGTAAACAAAACGTTTGCTGTGTTTTGAGATATGGTCTCATGTTGCTGAGGCTGGCTTTGAATTCCGGATGCTCCTGAGGGCTAGGGTTATAGGTGTACTTTATAAACATATAACTCAGTTTAATGACACTCAGTGAAAATTATGCAGAGATGTCAGTTAAACTTCTTGGCAAAACATTACTAAAAAGGTTTGAATCAGAAAGGGAACAAACTATTCTACCAGTGTCCGAAGTGGCTAGCTCCTTGACTTTCCTAAGAATCAATCGTGCGAAAAGCCCTACCACATGTTTCAGATAGACCTCTCTCAGGGCGTCACGTCTCTGGCTGCTCTCCAAGCGCTCACACTGCCTGAGGCTGAGATCTCGCAGCCATTTCTACTCAACAGCAGCTGGTTTCTTATTCCCCAAGACACACTTTGAGCTTATGACCCACGAGACACTATGAAAGTCACTGTTAGGCTATGGGAACCATAGAGAGCCTGGCTTGGAAAACTTGTTAGGTCTTTGGAAGATGAGGAATCTCTTTGCTAGAAGGTAGAGATGAATCTTTATCAAATGCCTTCCAAAACACACAGAACATTCCTACTGGAGTCCCTTCTAGATTCTCTTTAGGAACAAAAATAAATTAATAGGTCATAAGCAGAGGTATTTCCAGACTATTTTTGCCTGGAAAACTTGTTAAAAGACAATTATCAATAAAACAAAAGATCATCTATATTTCTGTGGAAATGTGCCAAAGCCCAGGACAGAGAAGACTGAAGTACCTTCATGTGGACTGTCAATGTAAATACAACTACATTTCTAAGGCAAAGGTGATCTGTTGATCTGTTACTAAACTGAAACCAGCACTGTTTCAAGTACCTGCTGTTCGTTACCTTCATATATTATGTCCCTAAACTTATCTAAGAAACAAAGTGTCTGACACTAGCCTGGCACCTTGTCTCCTTATTATTTAGTGCAGTAAATGTCAGAGTCTACCTCAATAAATATAGCAGCTACAGAATTATTAATATACGGTCTCAATATCAGTGCTTAGATACTGTAATATAGACATGTAACATGCACACTCTACAGACACAATTGCCATCAAGAATCTACAACAAAACCCACAATTCGACATTCATCAGCTAGGAGCAAGAGTACAGTAGAAGAGAAACATTAGTATGGCTTAATGATGTTTAAACTAAAGGAACTTAAGAAAAAAAAAAAAAAGAATTCTACCCAGAAATGGAAAAATAGTATAAATTTCAAGAAGTATTTTCTATAGGTCTTTTTATCTTAAAATTCTAAGCACAAAGTTTGTTGGCATTAAGTTTGGAATACCAATTTATTAGTAGGCAAAATAGAAATATACTATACATATTCTTCTAAGCTAATCATCTTAAACTAGCAAGACTGATTAATGTAAATGCATTCTAAAAAAGAAACCATTTAAAAGATAAAACCTTGTATTTTAGAAAATAAAATTCTTCCCCTTAAAAAATCCTTTCAAATAAGAGTTAAAGTTAGGGCTTTAGTCTGGCATGTGTGAGGTCAAAGGTCAGGAAAGGGACAGGCGCCCATGCTATTCCTAAAGCTCTTCACATGAATATGTGCAGGGCCAAAAAAGACCTTCTACTTCTACTGAGCAAACACAATCCAGTCAAAGACTTTTACCATGGAGGGTGCACCATTCTATTTCCTTGGCTGTGTTCCCCAACAGCCAGGTATGATGGTAGGAGCCCCGTGGTCCCAACTACCAAGGAGGTCAAGAAGACTTCTGGACCCAGGAGTTGGAGGCCAGCATGGGCAAGAGAGAGAGAGAGAGTTTGTCTCGAAAACAAGCAAGCAAACAAACCAACCCCAAATATCTTGTAAGGAGTTTTCTTTTGCCAGGGTTGAGATGGGAATATTTTGGAAGGAAAAAAAAAATAAACTACATAAATATCCTTTGTAAAGTGCTTTGAAACAGTATTGAGAATTGTATTTTAGATACTTCAAAGCAATAAACATATAAAATACAGTACTTTCTTTACTGTTCTGGCAAAGAGAAAGAAGACTTCATGCCTGTAGGACATGGCTCAGATTTTAAATTCAAATACAGTAAGTTGGCAATAATGTGGACTGGAAGTAAGAGAGCAAGTGAAGACCTAACTGCATCCCTGTTCACGGCCGACGGAGTTCTGAAAGGCTGACAGTGCCCAGTGCAAACATCTGTAATGTCTGTCCTCAGAGCCGGTGTGGGGACAAGAACAGAGAAAACTCACATGCAATGTTCATGACTTACAAAGTGCAAAGTTCCCCAAACCTGACGTTATTGAGAACCTCAGTTTGACAGCTTTAAAGTTATTAACTAAAGTTATTGATTAAAGAAGTGGAGAAAATTAAGTTTTTAAGAGTTTTCACTGTATTTCAAAAATTCTACTAATTTTAAATGATCAAAGTCCTAATTTACTTCATCACTGCCATCTTATTTTTAAAGAGAAAGTTACACCGGTAAAAAGATAGAAAAAAAATCATCCAGTATTTTCTTGATTCCTGTTAGTCAAAGAAGCACAATTCTTCAATAAGTGAGATATATTTTCAGATAATTTAAAAACATTTAAATCTTAAGCTGTTAATTGGCATTTTTAAAAACTGAAGTTCAACTCTGTTTCTCATCTCTCAGCCGAGGGTCCTTTAGCTTGTTTTAGTCCTTTGGCTAGAACTGTTTTAAAACTGAAAATTATCAAACTCTCCTTCTGAAATTAAGGCTGTATTACTTTGCCCCCTTTAAATGACACAGATGTCTGTTCTTCCTGTTATCCACAGTGAGGACAACAGACATGACTTTCCTGTAAAATTGCTTATTGCACTAAAAGAGCAAAAACTGTCTCAGTTCTTAAACATGATTGTAGTTCTATAAAAGATGTAGCCAATACAGCTTATAATTGTTAAAGCACTGTTGTAATGAATTTAAAGGCAAAAGGAGCTATACTTCAACATACATATATAATATATATATGAAAATCACATTAAGGATGAGGGCGGTAAGTAAACTAGCAAAAACAAAACAAAAGCAACCCCAGTTCCTTCCTTTTTCCATCCTATAGAGTTTCAGATTTTTAAAATATTTACCCTTTATAAAAGTTTGAAGGGATTTCCAGGTATAACTCATATAAGCAGAAGGCTTTAGAACATTTGCTACTTATCAGAAAGATGTCTGACAAGGTTTTGTATTTTTAGCAGCTTTAACAAACTCACTACAGAAAAGAACCCCTGTGTTGCCACTGTTTCTGAACACAGTGCACACACAGAGGAAAAAGGAGGAGATGCTCACAAACATGGCGTCAGGAGCCGAGGACACCTGTGTGTGAGATAGGGGCTAGGAGTAGGGTACATAAAATAAAACCAGAAATCTAGTCTGCCAAGCCTTCCTTCAAATGAACCAGATGTATAAACATAGGAATATGAACATATGAATGTCATTTGTAGCTATAGGAACCAAAGTATAGATGCTGAAGGCAAGGGAGATAGTGAAGGAAATAAATGCAGCCTAAGGAGGGGAACAAGGGAAGACAGTTCCCCAGAGGAATGAATTATAAAATATATACACAGACACGTATATATCAGCAATCTAGATCTAGATACATATGCACACGAAGTAACGTGTGGGTTTTGAAAATACAGACTCCTTTACAAGAATAGATGCACATTACTTTTTCTGCACATAGAACTGAACAATCATTATTTGTGTGTGTTTTTAAACCACCATTCACTTTTTCTTTACTTTTTTGCAGAGATAGTTGTGCTGCTAAGCAACTTGAGGTAAAGGCATTAAAAGGGTTAGACTGTAAGAAGTGAGAATAAACAACGGCGATGTTTCTTCTACACGAGACTGCAAGAAAGCAGCGGGCTGGCTCCCTAGAGTACAATGATGCTGCCGCCTTTGACAAAGTAAACAATTTTCCTTGGATCAACATAAGGACCAGACCTCTATATAGCATTGGCTTCTGTATGGCCGGAGGCCTCCCCAGTGAATTGACTCCACTGGAAACATACATGGTGTGCTGATCCGCCTTTCAGCTCTTCCTCTCAGAGAGTACACTTGGACTTGTTAGGCGAAGTACATCGTGCGTAAGGTGTCTTGGTGAATCTGTACAGCCTTGGCAAGAGCTTGTGGATCTCGTCCATTGCTCTGTCCTGAAACATGGCTTCCTTCAGCACTGTAAGAGATGGGTTAATGAACTCAAACATTCTGCTCTAATGTAATAACTCTGAAGAATATTACATGTTGTAGGAAATTCCAAAAATACTAGAAAATAGAGACTGGTGTAGTAAACACTGTGTCTATCATTTAGCTTCAATATGGCCAATTTTATTTTGGCTCTGGCTCTTTCATTTTCTTAGGATTAATTAGAAACAAATCCAAGATATCATATCATTTTGTCTAATATATACATATAATCTTCCTTGGGTAATTTGGAGAAGCAACTAAGTTACTAGATCATTCTGGTTTTTTTTAAAGATATATTTTATTTTTTATGTATATGAGTAGTTTGCCTGCGTGCATATAAGCACCATGTGCATGCTTGGTCCCATGGATCTCCTGGAACTCGAGTAACAAGACAGTTCTGAGCCACTGTGTGGACGCTGGGTATCAGAACCGAGTTCTCTAGAGGAACAGCCAGAGCTCCCAACCACGGGGCCATTCATTTCCCCAGCCCCAGATCTTTCAATTACTAATAAGCCCACACAGTATTTTTAGTAGAAAACCGTATTTTGGGCCTACATTCCAAATGTCCCCCTTTCCGGTCCCCCAAAGAGAGGTACATATGTACATAAAAAACAGCCCAAGGAAATCCTACTCTCTTTGGATTTGGTTTAAGAATCCCCACTTTTCATGGATTTATATTACCTGTCATGTTCCTTGTCCACAAGATGATATCTGGCTCTGAATGCCACCAGGTGAGCGTAATATGCTGGTGCAGGGATAGAAACGGATCGTGTACAGCGTACATAAGTGTGACAGAGCTGGTAAGTAAGCAGCTGAAGTTCATCTGCAGTGAAGCAGTTGTCATCCCATAACACATGGTAGTGTGAAGGACGGCTGGTACCCTAGCGAGAGGAAATAGGATAGTCTGTACATTTCTAAACTTTTCTTTCTTTCTAAGGTTTTTTTCCTTGGTGAGCTGGCAAGATGGCTAAAGGTGTGTGCTGTACAAGTCTGGTGAACTGAGTTTGATTCCTAAATCCCTTGTAAAGGTGTACAGAGAGAACAGAATCCAAAAGGCTGTTTTCTGACTTCTACATTTGTGCAATGGCATGTTACTATTCACATACATACACAGTAATAACCCATTTCATTGGTGTATGTTCGTTGTGCATAGTACTTGGTACATAAGAACACGTTCATGTATGTACCTTACTTTGAACATCCTGCCTTCTGTCCTCCTTCCCTCCCCCCATCTCCCCTTCCCCTCTCTCCACTGTTTCCCTACAGTCTCATCTCTACTTCCACGTCATCTATACATTCATGATTTTACATATCCTCATAAATCTAAATGCTTTCAACCTATTTTATGTGTGCGGGTGTACTGCCTGCTTGAATGCCTGTGTGCCATGTGCACGCCTGGTACTTGTGGAGGCCTGAAGAGAGCACTAGATCCCTGGGAGCTAGAGTTACTACAGGCAGGGGTTAGTCACCATGTGGGTGCTGGGAATCGAATCTAGGTCCTCTAGAAGAGCAGCCAGTGCTCTTGACCTCTGAGCCATCTCTCCAGCCCCTCTCAACAAAATCTAGGACTCCTGATCCTCCTGTCTTCACCTCCCAAGTGCTGACACTACAAGTTTGTACTACCAGACCCAGCAGATAAGCAAAGAGAGATCATGATGCTGAAAGTCATTATGTTAAGCAAAGTAAGCCAGCTTCAGAAAGATAACACCAGATGTTTTCTTTTATATGTGAAATTTATATTTAAGATTATGTGTGTATGTACATATATAAATGTGTATATTTATATATTTACATGTGTGTGTATGTGTAGGTCATAAATTTAGACAGCAGATAAGAAGGGAGGAAGAGGTGTCAAGGAAGGGAGAAAAAGAAAGGGTAACAGGAAACATATGAAAGTAGGGTGAAGAGGGAGGCACAGCACAGGGAAAGGAGGCAGGAGGCTGCTGGGAAGGAAGAAGGGATGGCAATGAAGCACGTGACATACATGCATGAAAATGTGGCAAGGAAACCTATTACTTTGCTGGATGAGCAGTGGTGGCGCACGCCTTTACTCCCAGCACTGGGAGGCAGAGGCAGGTGGATCTCTGAGTTCCAAGCCAGCCTGGTCTACAGACAGGACAGCCAAAGCTACACAGAGAAACCCTGTCTCAAAAAACAAAACAAGCTGGGTGGTGGTGGTGGCGGCGCACGCCTTTAGTCCCAGCACTTGGGAGGCAGAGGCAGGTGGATTTCTGAGTTCAAGAGTTTGAGGCTAGCCTGGTCTACAGAGTGAGTTCCAGGACAGCCAGGGCTACACAGAGAAACCCTGTCTCGAAAAAAAAAAAAAAAACAAAAAACCCACCAAAAACACTTAAGCAAAAGACAAAAAAACCCCTACTATTTTGCATAGTAACATTAAAATTGATATAAATAAGTAATTTTTTTAAAGTTTTACATTAAATTAAGGATTTAATTTAGGAAGATTCATTCTATTAAGCTAATTCTGTTCTTTTCTCTTCTTTTCTTTTCCTTTCTTTTCTCTTTTTCTTTTCCATCCTTTTGGATTTTTAAGACAGTATTTCTCTGTATAGTCCTGGCTGTCCTGGAACTCATTCTGTAGACCAGGCTGGCCTCAAACTCAGAGATTCACCTGCTTCTGCCTCCTGAGTGCTGGGTCTAAAGGTATGCACCACTATGCCCAGCACACTAATTCTGATGTTTTCATAAAAGTATTTTCCTCTTAAAGTAAAGAAAAGGAAGGAATTCATTTAGTAAAACTTACATGTGGAAATAACTAGGAACACCGAGAAAAGTATTATTTCTCTTTTTGCTGACGAGAATTGAGGTTCTGAGTGAAAACCTTCCCCCGGAGCAGGCTCACCTGTATTCCAGCATGGCTACAGAGATAAAAGTCGAATTCATACGGGTGAGTGATGTCCGTATCCACCGTGGTTCCAGCTGGGATGTTGCCGCTTCTTCCAACCTAGATTTTTTTTTTTTTGGATCAAATTTTAAATCAACAAGACAAAAGAAAAAAATCAGGAAGTACATTAAAAATGCTCAAAAACATAAAGTGACCTCTTATTTCACTACTTTTAGCTTGAAATATTACTTAAGTAGATATTAAGTATATCCCTTAGTTCCTAGTCTTTTAAAATTTATTCTTATTTTTATCATTACTACTATTTTATTTTCCAAGACAGGGTTTTGTTGTTTAGCCTTGGCTGTCCTTGTTTTGTAGAGCAGGCTAGGGTTGAACTCACAGAGATCCACCTGTCTCTGCCTCCTGAGTGCTGGGATTAAATGTAGACGCTATCATGCCCAACTTAATTTTTAAGCCTCCTCTTAAAAAAAGAATCCCAGCCTAATAAATTAGCAATACATACCATATAGACGCTGTAATCTATTTAAAGAGGGAACAGAGGCCTGGATCTTCATGACAGCTCCAGTTTTTAGATTTACGCTCTAGGGCAGCGGTTCTCAGCTTTCCCAGTGCTGCAACCCTTTACTATAGTTCCTCATGCTGTGCTGACTCCCAACTAGAAAATTATTTTTGTTGCCATCCATGAACAATTTTGCTAGTTATGAATTATAGCGTGGTTGTGACCGACAGGCTGAGAGCTGCTGCTCTATCTAGGACAAGGTATTTTACCTTTCTGTCTTCTCAGCTATAAAAATCTTTCATCTTTTTTTTTCATTTTTGGGAATTGAACCCATGGTCTGAAATGTGCATTACATCTAAACATTCCACTAAGCTCCATCCCAGTCACTATTAGAATTACGTAGAGCATGAGTGGAAGTACGCACAGATGAGCATGGATGAGTGGCATTACTAATCTCATCTGTTCATCGCCATTCCGCCCACGTCAGGTTTTCTAGGTATAAAAATATACTAGTCATTTAGAATCAGAGGCCTTTAACAACCGGGAGGCTGTAATAAAAATCACTGCGCCTATTAGGTGGTCTGTCATGATGATGAAAACACTCTGTAGTAGGGCTGGAGTAATGGCTCAGAGGTTAAGAGAGCACTGGCTGCTCTTCCAGAGGACCTGGGTTCAATTCCTAGCACCCATGTGGCAGCTCACAACTGTCTGTAACTAGATATACATGCAGGCAAATGTACATAAAATAAAATAAATGAATTTTAAGAAAGAATGCTGTGTAGTAAATGGCTTGGGTTTGAGGACTGCTTCGATCAGTGCTGCCTCTGTAACCATCCTGAGACATTACTAAAGGTTATAGTGTCTTCACTTTCAAGACAGGGATGATAATAATACACATTATGTATAATATTATATGTAATAATAGTTGCATATGTTTTAGGAGAATTAAATCAGTTAAACTAAAAAAGCACTTAGCTTGGGTATGCAGCTCAGTATACACAGCCTCGCATTCATGAGGCTCTGAGCATGATTTCCAGCAACACAGAAAGAAAGGAAGAAGGGAAGAGCTAGAAGAGAGGGAAAGAGGAGGAACAGGGAGAAAGGAGAGAAAGGGAAGGGAAGAGATGGACACTGGAAGCTTGATGGTGGGAAGGGAGCTTGGCTTAGAGCAGTATTAAAAGACCTAAAGTTACCCTTTCTGTTCTATCAGCACAGAACAACCGCGTATGATGTCTCTTCTGAACAACAATGTATGTTATTCCGGGTTGATAGTCTTTTTCCAAACTGATACAGGCTTCTCGAATTGCCAGTAGCTCATAATACAATACCTAGAGAAAACACAACAGAAAAATTGAATACAGCCAGTTGCTTCTTTTACAAATTCCAAAATAAGAGAATAATTTAACTTTATGATATCTTGTTTTTAAGGATCAATTTCATTTTAAGTTATGTATATGTGTGTGGTGTGAGTTTGTGCACATGAGTGCAGGTGCCCTGGGTGCCAGAAGAGGACATCAGAGCTCCTGAAGCTGCATGTGGTGGTGAGCCACCTGATGTGGGTACTGGGAACAGAACTCAGTTCCTCTGTGAGAGCTGTAAGCACTCTTAACTGCTAGGCCACCTCGCCAGCCCACCTCATGACTCACCATCACGTACTGTTCAGCTCAGTTTGCTTCTGCATTTCATTTAACTATGGGCAGAGCAATGAAGGCCACATAGCCACAGGGAGATTTAAAAAGGAAGATCCACTAAAGATCAGTTTTGATGTGACAAACTTTTAACTTCAGATGTTCACCTTCAGAACTAGATATCACGTCATAAACTTAGTATTTGGTATGCTTATGGTCTAAATATATTCCAGGCAACCAACCTGTCTAAACTGTCCTTCTGACACACCATCCCGATAAAAAATGATCCGAGTAGGTTTGAATCGGGTTGACTTATAAAATTGGATGAGGAGTTCCCGGACCATGGAGGCCAAGTCCTGGATGATCTCCTGCCGAGGTCTCTGAACTCTTACTGTGGCACAGTACCTGCTTGGATGGGCATCCATACTGCCTACAACCTAGGTGGGAAAGGCGGGAAAAATTAATCAAAACTAAAGTCTCTCCATTTACACCCACATTTTCCTGAAGCCTATTCATCATTATTTACTTTGAAAAGAACAAAAATTAGACAATTCCTAGTAAAGAACAAAATAAAAGACCAAAATAGTGTCAAAAACAAGTAGGCAGTACTTTTTCTATTTTCATGTGTGTGTAGTGTGTGTGTTTGTATATCCATATTTTATATGTATTTGGGCACACATTTGGGTATAATGTTGTCCTTACATGTGAATGTGTGTGCATGGAAAGGCCAGAGGTTGCACAGTTATAGAAAGAGAAAGCAGGCAAATTACAATAGTTATAGGAGATTTAAGGGATAAAGTTAACAGATTTAATAGGTATATTATACCTACTTGTACCCCTAAACCAGAATGATCAACCTTGGCCAAAACCTCTCCAATCCAAAGAGCAATAATTAAAGTTAGTTACAAGAAAATTGTTAAAGAACTACAAAGATTAAAGGCTATCACCCTCCAAAAACCAACCAACCAACCAACCAACCAACCAACCAACCAACCAACCAACCAACCAGGGGCTAGAGAGATACCTGACAGTTAAGATCACTGGCTGCTCATGCAGAGGACCCTGGTTCAGTTCCAAGCACCCACATGGTGGCTCACAACTGTCTGTTATCTCAAATTTCAAGGACCCAGTGATTTCTGGTCTCCATGGGGACTGCACACATGTGGTACAGACACACACATACACACACATACACACACACAAACACACACAGAGATATCATATATATTGTATGGATGCATCATCTGTCAATTTAAAAACCTACGGCCTGCCTATGGGGAAGGGTAGAATAGAAGATGGGACATCTGGGAGGCAGAAAGAATTCTGGGATAGAGCCAGGCTTGGGAGATTCTCTCCGAGGAAGATGTGTTAGACGCATGGTACCTAACCATGGGTAACTAGCCACATGACAGAATATAGATTAGAATAAATGGGTTGGGGGCTGGAGAGATGGCTCAGCAGTTAAGAGCACTGACTGTTCTTCCATAGATCCTGAGTTCAAATCCCAGCAACCACATGGTGGCTCACAACCATCTGTAATGGAATCCAATGGTCTCTTTTGGTGTGTCTGAAGACAGCTATAATATACTTACATGCATAAAATAAATAAAATCTTTAAAAAACATAAATGGATTATCTTAATTTATGATTTTCGTAAGAGAAGAAGTCTAGCTATATAGCCAAGTGATTTGTAAATGTATTTTGAGTCTGAGTCTTATTTCTTTTTTTTTTTTTTTTTAAAGATTTATTTATTTATTATATAGGAATACATTGTAGCTATTTTCAGACACACCAGAAGAGGGCATCAGATCTCATTACAGATGGTTGTGAGCCACCATGTGGTTGCTGGGATTTGAACTCAGGACCTCTGGAAGTGCAGTCAGTGCTCTTAACCACTGAGCCATCTCTCCAGCCCCTGAGTCTTATTTCTGGGAGCGTGGGACTAGAAGGAAGAACCAGGACAACCTTCTACATACATAAAATAAAATAAAATAAAATAAAATAAAATAAAATAAAATAAAATAAAATAAAATAAAATAAAATCTTAAAAGAGAAAAACCAAATTATCCAATCAATAAATTGGTCAATAAAGTGAGAGGCTCAGCAAGCAAATGCACTTGCAGCCAGGCTGACAGTCTGAGTTTGATCTCTGGGATCGACATGGGAGAATGAGAACCAACTCCTGCAAGTTGTCCTCTCCACATGAGTGCTGTAGCGCTAATGTGTACCTCTCCCCAGCAATAAATGCAGTAAAAAAGGAGAAATACAAATGGCCAACAAACACTTGACAAATGGTTCAACATCCTTAACCTTAAGGGAAATGAAAATAAAAGCCCTATAATTCCATTTTCCCGAGGCAGAGTGGCCACTGCCACAAATAAATGACAATAAACACTGGCTACGGTATACTGAAGGAGGAGCCAATCTACTGTTGGTGGGAATGTAAGCAGCGACAATTGAAAGCAGTAGACAGGTTTCAAAACACTGAAAACAGAGCTACCATATGACTTAGTTGTACTACTCTTGGGTACACACCTGAAGAACTTAAAGTCAACAGACCACAAGGATACCTGCGCTTACATGTTTATGGCTGCTCTATTCACAATGGCTAGGAAACTGTACCCGCTTAGATATTCATTGGCAGATCAATGGATAAAGAAAATGTGGTGCAGGGGCCAGCATCTGGGTTAAGGTGGGTTCCAGGGATGGTCAGGCTTGGTGGAAGGAGAGAACCAACTCCTGCAAGTTCTCCTCTTACATGCCCTCCCAATGAATGAATGAATGAATGAATGAATGAATGTGATACTTGTACACACAATAGAATTTTATGTAGATATAAAGAAAAATGACATCATGATGTTCAGAAAAATAGGTACAAATGGAAATCATTATGTTAAATAAAATATGTTAAATAAAAGAAAGACAAATATCACGTACTCTCTCTCATACATGGAACCTAAACTATTATATATATATAATATATATATTATATATATGAGAAAAAAAATATGGACTAACTTGGAGAATAGAAGGCCAGCTAGAGAAGGGAGGAGACTGCAGAGAGCAATGAAGGAGGAAAGGGACTGAGAACAAGAATACTGGCCCATGTGTGGTGATGCCAGCATGATACTGGCCCATGTGTGACAATCCCAGGATAAAACTCAGTATTTGGTATGTCAACCCCAAAAAATTAATAAAGAAGAAAACACCAAATTTGGAATGTGGAAACCACAATGTTTTTGTTAGTCTGGATTTTCGATAACATAGACTTGTCTGGAGGTACTCACAGCAGCAATGGAAGGCTTCTTGCCATCCCCAGCAGGTGGGTGTGTGACATCTGCGCCCAGGAAGATCACTGGTTGCTGGAACACAGAAGGTCTTAAACACATTTTTTTAAAGGGTTAGACAGTTCATTTGTTTCATCTGTTTCACATGATTGCAATATAACTGCACACTACCAACAGGACAAAGGAAGCCTGTATAACCACCAGACAGCTTCCCAGACCTGAACTGCTGACTAACATATTTTGTTTTGATCTCTACATAGCCTTGGCAGACCTGGGAATCACTACATAGACCAGGCTGCCCTCGAACTCACAGAGATCCCCTGCCTCTGCCTCCCAAGTTCTGTCAAGTTCTGGGATTAAAGGTGTGTGCCACCATGCCCAGCCTGACTTAACTCTTAACTTATGAATCTCTAGTCAATAAAGTAAAAGCTGTTACATTTCTCTGACATCTTGTG